CGCAACAAAAACCTAAAGAAACCTTACCCCAGCACCCCGGGGTTGTAAGATTGTATGTTAACGCGTTTTACTTTTCGACCAAGGCTAGGCGGGTTACCTCACCCCTTATTAGTGTTCAAATGATTTAAATGTGACTGACGTTATATGTTTAAAACTTTTAAACGGCGTTTCTTTCCCTACAAACCATCATCAACAGCCAGTAGTCGCGTATCCTTTTTAGCGGCCTCACCAACAATTCCTTTTTTTCCACTTCAAGAACGAAATCAAAACTAAACCACAACCAAACCAAAACCACAATTTTTTTGGACACGATTTATCATCGACACCACACACGTTCTCTTAGGGTGGACGCAACTTGGTAATGGCACGACATCTTTTGATGTTTTATTTTCATGATTACTTTCTGTCGACTGTTTTATTCGAAATAATTTCACATACGCTTTAATTTTTCAGTAAATCAAAACGCAAAATTAAGTTGACTTGGTCGTAAATTTACATACGACTGTTGAATTCAAGAACATGTTAAGTTCATGCACGAACTAACTCCTAAATAACAGTGTACAATACCGAAAAAATCAACGCCGCAAAGAATTATTTGCACTTAAAACTTTAAGTGTTATTGAGATTTTCATTCAACCGGAAAATTACGTTATTTACAAATGCCCCTTCTTCTTTTTGTATCGATGTAGGAGCTTACAACTTTTCTTTGATTAGCAAGAATCGGTCAGTGGAATGTAAATACGTTTTTATGAGTATAAGATTATGTTTGATTAAAACATCTAATGCACTTGGCTTGATTACATCTAAAATTATAAAAAGAAGGCTGCACAAGATTATCTTAAAGTACAAACTAGTTTATTGCTTGCCTCATCAACTATCTCTTCTGAGAAAATTGTAAAAAAAATTTGGGTTATTTTTATTAATAGTCATCCTGAGTGCAAAATCATGCGTTTTCCTTATAAACTCCTCAGGGCAAATGGTGTCATCAGTTGTCAAAAAATCGATACTGTCATAAAAACCTTTATTAATTAGATGACATGGATGATTGAGATTAATAATAAATTACCACGAGTTTTATCCTGTTTCTTTGAAGACTCTAAACATTTAAAAGCATATTTATCGGCCGGTAGTATTGCAACTTGGATCTCGACAAAAGCATCAACAGAAAATTTCATTTAAGCCATCGATCAATTCAGGATCTTTACACTGGAATGATGTTGTTTCATTTGATGATCTTCTATTTCGTTTTCTTCTCGACCTCAGGGTATTATTAACTTTTACACCACTGAATGAATTTAAGTTTACCTTCGATTTTTGGCTGCCCATACACACATCCTATTCAAGAAATCTTTAGAACCGAAAAATACTTTTTATTTTCAAGAATTTTCACTTTGTCGATTAGTTGATTTGGTGATTTATACTAACAAAAGTATCATTTTTTAGCGGTAGTGAAAAACGCTTGACAATAGTCAAAACAATGGTTCGTATTGGAAAAACCAGGACCAAAAATTTTTAACAAGATTGTTTGTTTCTGATCTCCGACAGCAGGGGAGTGGATCAGCGACGCTTCAGAGTGTTGGACGTGGATGCAAAAGGCAATCTATATCTTTACAAGACGGCGTTGCTCTGCAAGAACGAAATTATCAAACGGTTGAGAAATGGGACGTACAGTTTGGCAGAGCAGACGGAACTAGGTATGATATTTCTCTTTTACTTTTACGAAATCAGTATAAACATATTAAGAAAAGCGAGACTGACTTGAACACCAAAGTGCTTTTCACCTCATGCCCTTGTATTTTACGTTTTAGGCCGTTTAATGCCATCCTTTCAGGATTGGGAATTTCAAAATGTGTCTGTACTTGTGTTACGTACATTCCCCGAATAATGTTTGTTTCAGAAATGAAACCCTTGTCTTGAGTACACCTTCAACGAGGTTTAAGTTTCTTGGATTACTTTTTCATATTCCTCTTCTTTCGGTTAAAAACTAAATATTTTTGTTTAACTAAATATAAGTCTTGAATTGCAAGAGATCCAGCACCAATCTGTGATCCAGCAAAATAACTGGGCTGGAGTTATACTTCTGAGAAAAATAGCGGACGAGATACCCGTAATTTTATTCTTTCGCCAGAAATTTACCAGCGTTCAGTGATATATATACAATCAGAAAATCATTTATGAGCAGATTTGATAGGAATGCCCCACTGACTACATGTTTATCTTGTTTTTATAGAATTAATAGGATTGTCAAAAGACTTAGCAGTGCTGAACTGCAAGGTGCTCAAAAAGAAGTCCCCATACGCCGTGTCAGGCGTTTATTGGATAGATCCTGATGGCGGTTCCCGTAGCAACGCTTTCCAGGCCTACTGCGACCAGCAAACGGATGGAGGGGGTTGGACATTAGTTTACAGCTATACCTTTACCGATTACTCACATTTCAAGGCTGCATCAAACGCTGTCATCCCGCGTCCATCCTGGTCAGCGGGCGGCTCCAACGTCCGAGTGTCCAAAACAGTTCCACTGAGCGAGACTCAATACGAGGCCATGGACTTTTCTTTGTGGCGCAGCATTGGTGAGGAAACCCTGATCAAGAGCAATATCAACAACTGGTTCGCATGCAAGGAAGGTTCTGGTAGCATAGTGAAACAGAAGAAGGGGTCGCTTTCTTGTAAACTGGTGAAGCAGGTTGCTAAGAACTGCGGTGGAGCGGCACCAAATACCTGGAAGTTTTATGGGTATGGACCTTCCTTCGGCGGAGGTCAATTCTATTATTTTGATGGGAGCACAAATAGCAATTGGCCTACCCATGATCCTTGTGGAAGATATCGAGCAGACCACTTGAGAAACGTGCCAAACCCGCACGGAAACATTTTCATCCGTTGAAAGCATGTGAAAGTTTTCCAGCACTTAAGAGTGCCGATTTTGATTTTGTAAGCGGCATCAATGAAACCTTCTGCCTAGAAGTTTCGAAGCGAATAAATATGGGTTCTTGATTTATGAGATATCAGTGACTGATTTTGTCAAGAGCTTACAATTTTTAGGTAAAAGTTGTAACCTTCATCTTTTCCCAGTTGAGCAAGTTCCCGTGTTTGAACTTTGTTCAATAACGAGATAACTCACGAGATACGCTGATCTACTGATTTCAGAGAGTCTCTAATAAGCATTTGTTTCAACCTATAGATAAAAAGGGGGGATGGATCTAATGGTACTGAGTATATCTCTGCAAATATCATGTTCACTTAAGTGGTAGTAGCTTGAAAGCAACAGGATAAATGGGTGAAGAATAGTTATATGGTAACTCCCTTCAAAACTTATTTAAAACAGCTCCTTCCAACTCTAAGGCAGCTTTCTAAGACTAAAGTTTTCTTTTAGAAGGTGATATTGGACGCACGTTTTCTAAACTAGTGTCCAGAATTGTGGCTGATGGTCATAATTTCCAGAAATCACTTCAGAAATGTCATCCAGCAAATAAGAAATGGCAGGGCTATTTTTGAGTACATCTTAGGCTCGGACTGTTTAGCTAAGAAAAATGAAAAACTAGATTAGTCATCAGAAATGGGATTTTCAATTTCAAAGTTGAAATGAGTTCGTTTCCTCTATGTAAGTAGTAGTAATATAGCCTCTGAAAAAGGTGTGTATAACAAAAATAGTGTAGGACAAAAAAAATCTGATTGGACCAACGAGAGTTCATAAGATGAAAAAAAACCCACCCGGCGCGCACGTGGCGGGTGTCAGCTGGTCAGGGAATTTAGGCAAGAGCCAACAGTTTCATTGGAAAGTAGAGAATGGTAAAGCTTATACAAAAATAGAAATAGGTGAAAGAAAAAATAGTATTTTCGACTCTTTGGCACCATATGGTCACTAAACGCCATTAGGTCACTTCAAGCATTTTGGGGATGGGGGGAGGGAAATCTGTTTTACTTATTTCTTTGTTTATTTTCTTAATCAACTTATCTCATGCTTCTTATTCATTTTACGAACGGAAAACAACAAAATCAAGAATTTTTAATGAAAACAAAAAACATTCCTTTCCTTACTAAGGTTGAACTTTTTAGATCAAAACTCCTGATGATGTCCCAAAGAGTTAGGATGGAACCTTATCTCTTTCGCTGTACACTGTAACTAAGCCTAAGACCCGATCATATCCAGAGACGCCCGAAGATTTCCGAGAATGTCAAAAAAACTTATGATGATGTCCCGAAGAGTTCTGATGCAACCTTATCTCATGCGCTGTCACTAAGCCTGAGACCCGATCATATCCGAAGACACCCGAAGATTTCCAAGGATGTTCAAAAAACTTCTGATGATGTCCCGAAGAGTTCGGATGCAACCTCATTTTATGCGCTATACACTGTAACTAAGCCTGAAACCCAATCATATCCGAAGACACTCAAAGATTTCGGAGGATGTTTAAAAAAACTTCTGATGACGTCCCGAAGAGTTCTGATGCAAAATCATACCTCAACATGAGACTATCGAATCAAAGACACCCGAACACTCCTAGGGATGTCCCAAAGATATCTGATGATATCCCGAACCCTATCTTTTGCGTTATACACTGAACTTTGACCTGAGACCGATCATATCAGAAGACACCCAAACACTTCCGACCACGTCTCAGAATTTTTCCGAAGACGTCCCGAAGAGTTTTAACGGCCTTGAACTTATCGCCAGTACATTGCACATTACCATAGCTTAGGTTAAACTTAAACTCACGCAATTTTATCTTGAAGCGTTTCTATTTCCTTCCTCTGGTCTTCAGCAGTTTTTGTTAGCTTCTTGAATTAAAAATGATATTGGATCCGTAATTAAAGAAATATTAGCAAACCTCTTACGACATGCGGCCGGACCAGTTTTAACATTTATAAAACGTTTTATATTTTTGAAAGATATAGTAGAAATTGGAAACAATGCTATAAAGAATTGCTCCCAATTTTCCCAAGTTCCCAATAGAACATACAAAGCAAAAGTGAATTGGAAAATTGCATGCCTAAATAAGGCTGTAATCATTTCTCACAATTTTGATTATTTATCCATCAGAGACAGACGACAGAGAGAGGCAGTAGGTAGTAGCTATAGAGTGCTATTTGATACAAAACAAAATTCTCCTAATTTACAATGAAGTATAAGCCCAGAAGAGATTGTGACAATATATAGAATTACAAACAGTTTCCAAAAGGAAAGAAAACTTATGTTTTAATTAAAAAAAAAGATAAACAAAATTAAAAAAACTTATCTACTTTATGTACAATAACAAACTAAGATATAGTATCAAAAAAATGGAAGCATGACTAGTGGTTGCAAAGAAACATATCTGGGGATATCCTTACTGGAATAAGTAGTGCAAAAATCAAAATAATCTAGCTATATTTAAATAAATACTTGAAATGGAAAAGAAACTTTATCTAAATAATTGATCTTCCAGAAAATACCATCACAAATATTCACTGTGGCAAAGACCCAAACAGAAATTTCGAAAATCACCTAACAAGAAGTTTCCTTTGTCAGAAAATGTCTCTTTCTTAATTGACCATGCTAAAGCTTCTGCAGTTAGTATCAGGCATTATTATCCAACTGCACCAACTAGAGTATAAATCATGCTCAGATGACAGCTGGTTATTTTGTACAAAAGTAACAAACTTGTTAAACTATTTGGAAGCATGTGCTATACCTCTGGAACTCCTCCTCTTTTCCCTTCCCTAATGAGATATGCACCTAAAACAAGGCACTTGGCTAATAAATAACTTATTAAATGTTTTGGTGTATAGTTTTGCTGAGCATTTTAACCTGTTGTTTGCATTTTGACTTGCCCTACAGGTTCATCAAAATACGGCCCAACAAAAATGCTCAGAGATACTACACACCAAAACATCAAACAAGATATGTAAATGTATTCTAACTAAAACCTGAGAACAAGTTCTGAAACTGAAACATGACAGAAATTGAAAATCTCCTACTCAGAATCTAGTTTAACATAAGTGGACGAAAAAAGTCAACTCATCTTAACAAGCAACATACTGTTGGTTATCCAAGAATTTCACCATTAAACCCTTAACATCCTAACATCAGTATACAATCTCCATACTGTACTTCATACATTTCTTAAGGTGCTGACAAGGAGAATTTGTTTAGAAATCATCAGTCTTTTTGGTTGGTGATCATTTCCTTCATTCTCGTGACCTTAATGTCTGATTGAGGGGTGATATTGTAAAGAGAAATTAGATGCTGGTCACTCTTAGGTATTAGTCACTCAAAGGGTTAACTACTACAGTATACAGTTAATTATTCACATCTTCAAAACTTTCGAAAACTTATTTTACAAAATTCTTGTGGAATCGCAACAAGTTGTTTCAACATTTCATTGAAACAGCAGCCATTGCGTCCCTTAGATGAGATATTCAAATGTTGATTTGATGCTTCAGCAGCTGGACTTAAAGAAAGAAAACCTTTGTTTTCCAAAACAATGCAAAACAAAGCAAGCTGACTGCATTAATCACAATAACAAAAACATGCTCAAGACATGTGCTTTTTTTGGCGCAGAACGTGAAAAACGTGCGAAAGTTTTGCATGTGCATTTGCCATCTACCTCTGAGCTGTATTGTATGTACATGTAGTGTAAAACTTTGGCAAATTTTCAAATTTGGAAATTTTAACAAATTCTTCTACTTAACTAGATCCAGAAAAAAAAATTGCAAAACTTACTACCTTTAGGGGAATGAAAATTTCTAAAACGGGAGAGGGTTTCCTTTTTGAATGACTTTGGTGTTTTTCAGAAATCATATGCAGTAAAGTATTCTTCAAAAATGTAAAAAGTATTCCACAAAGTACCACAGAAAACGAGAAATAAAATCAGACAAAGATAAAAGTTGATAACAGCACATTTTCTTCCTTGTTAATGTTGGACTGCTTAATCTGAAAACTGAAAAACAACTGTGCTTCCAAAGAGAAATTTCTCCCAATCCACATTACAAAATTTTTTCCAACCTACAAAATCCAACTTCCACAGAATTTTCATGCTACATCACATGCAACATTATAATTACTCTCTACAACATACATACAGCACAGAGAAAATTATTTAAGTTCTAACCTATAAGTATACTGACAGACTGCAGCACTCATTAACAATCATATTGTCAATGGTGCTCAACTTCTCTCTTGCCCTATTTTTTTATAAGGATTATCTTCCATCAGATGATATACCAAGAAAGCCGTAAAAGCAAGAAAAACTCCAACTGCAAGCAGAATTTGAATATGAGGACCACATATGCTATGTTCCTCCTTGTTGGGCTCAGGAGTCTTCTTCTTTGCCACAGTCTCCATGGGATGTTCTTTGGACAAGTTGTTCTCAGAATCCTTGGTAAGGATTTGTTGGGTTTGCTGTGTTGCCATTGTCATGCTTGGTGGGACTCTTTTTGTAAGTGTTGCCTTTGATGGTGTGGATGATGATTTTGGATGGGAAAAGCGCTTTGGAGTTGTGTCTTGCTGGTCTGCAAATTGAGAGAAAAAAAATTAAATAAACAACTTCAACCCTGAGTCACATTATGATGCAAAAATATTCCTGAGCTAGATTCTTATGGTAATACAATGTATCTTTTTCTGAAGCATCTCACCAGGCTGGAATCTTAAAGAAATGATTCTGATTGGCTAATTGCACACTGATAACCAGTCCAGCTTTTTACAGTAAAGACCACAGTTTGGAACTTTTCCCTAGCATTTGCAGCAAAGCAGGAAAAAACAAACCCTAGCAAAAATTAATATGTTATTGACCAGTCTAGGTCAGTCCAAATTGAGAAAAAATCATGTCCTTAGTCTTGCAACTGGCCTTGACACCTCGAGCACTGTATTTTCCCAAACAGACCTCTGGCCCAGTAAATAACACATAATATATACACAACTACATAACTGATATACTTCCTTCAATTCAATATTTGATCAGTAGCTCAAATATATACAAAGTGCCAGTTATATATATATTTTTTCCAATGCTAACTAATTTTGTTGCCAAAGTAAAAGGCTTCATTTTGACAACAACATACATGTACGTCAAATGACCATATGACTGGAATGCTTTTTCACTAATAAAATCTCTGTCAATATTGCAGGTTACAAATTAAAGTATAAACGTAACAAAACATTTTTCTTGTAAATTTAAGGTTTGTTACTTTCTTAGGCACAAGAATCAACAGCAAGAAGATTCCTTCAGTACCTTCTCCATCAAGCTCATATGGAAGGGGCTCTACTTCTTCCACTTCTTCCACTTCTTCCACGTCTCTCTCTTCTGATGAAACTTCATTATCATCAGAAAACTCCACATACTCATTACTGGGCTTAACTGGAGAAGCCTTTGGTTTCTTCGGAGAGACTTTCGGCACAACTGGAATGACAGGATTACTTTTCTCTTCTGTCAGCAACTTAGCTAAGAAATAAAAAAATTGCAGATAATTTTTTGTAATAAAAAAAAATGCCCTGGAATATATGTTTCTGCCTTTTTCTCTTAAATGTTACAACTCCAAAGAACTTTTTGAGTTAAGGTTACCAATATGGATTCTATCCTTCAGAATCTAATCACAGACTGAGCTACATTTGATCAGAAAGTTTCTTGAATTATGCAATCTACAGTACCGGTAATTGCCAATTATCTAAAGTCAAGCAATTGCAATCTGAGATTATTTCACACGAAAGGGATGCCACATTTGGCTTTTAGATTCCAAAATATTTGTAAATATTTGCCAAGTCGAACTTCCTCAAATTATTGAACAGATACATACTCTGTTGCTGTGCGTCTGTACAATAAAAGATCTTAGGTGGCATCAAAATGTGGTATAAACAAAACAGTGGCCAGTGTGCCACTGATGTTATTAACCCTTAACTCCCATAAGTGACCAAGACAGAATTTCTCCGTACAACAGCAATACATTATCAACCAGATAAGTAGTTGGGGATAACTAGTTGATTCAATACTAAATTCTCTGAACTACATGTAAGAATTTGTGGTTGAAAGTGAGGAGAATGACAAATTTGATTTGGGAGTTAAAGGGTTTAACAGACTTTGACATCTTCTGTGATCCATAACTATGCAGACCTACAAAAATATTGAGTCCATCTGATTTAGATGAGAAAAAGCAGACTGTTGTTAAGGATGACATCATTTATGCATCTAATTGATCAATTAAGAACAAACCAATCAAAATGTGTACGATTCTGCTTATCATATAAACATTTTTGTCAGCTCATGTGAGTGATTACAAATGAGTATATCACCTTACCCAGTTTCTTTTGATACAGAGGACGTGTGGATTCAGTAATAGGGCCTACTGTAGCTCCAAATGATTTCAGCTGCCTGGCAAGATCGCCATCAGACAAAGCTGCCACATCGAATGGCAGGTCTCCCTTAACTCTTTTATTGATGACAACCTTTTTGGGCAGCTTGACCGGAAGCTTCTGTAAAATCAAATTAATGAAAAAATTAAACTTGTTCCATGAAGATGACCACAAGTGACCAAGACAGAATTTCTCGTTGCAATATCAGTATAATATCAAGTAGACAAGTGATGAGAATTAAGAAAAATATCAATTAGGGGATAATAAATTGATTTGACAACAGATTCTCTAAACAAACATCATAAGAATTTATTGGCAGATGGTATGGAGAATTACTAATTTGATCTTGGGAGTGTAAGTGTTAAGGGAAGTATTTAAGAGATTACTGTGTCGTGAAAACTCTGAAGGTAAGAACCACTTCATGAGATCTTCCTTAAAGATTGGATATTAAAGAATTCTCTAACTTCTGTGCACAATTTCCTGCCTAACTTTTGAAGGTCTGAACAGTTTTTGAATCTTTTGTTGGATCTTTTCACTCTCCTATCAGCACATTTCTCCCTGACAAACCTTGACCAAGGCATCATTTAAGTGATAATTAAATAGTATTAACAGCAGACAAAACATGAAGTGTCCCAAAAACCTGCATCTACCTACATACCATGGCCAATAATGGAAGAAGGTGGTTAAGATGCAAAATGGAAAGCAGAAATAAAGAAATTGTCACAGGCTGAGAATCATCATAGTGTGATCAAGGTAATGTTACTTTTTCATTTAACTACCACTACCACGCTTGATTACCACCTGCCACTGCTTCTTTTGTGTGATATACAGCTATATTTACATGCACAATGATAGTAGCAAGTAAACCTAATTTACAATTTAATTAATTTCACTTGTCTACCTTGATTTGTTTAAGACAAACTAATTAAAGATAAAAAAAAAAACTACATTCTTGAAAGTCCAATTGTAAAGTGTTTAGGAAGCTTTTCTAGCCTTAGAGATCAGAAAAATATCCAGCCACTACAAAGAAAGTACTGCCTAAATTTTGATGGCCTGAATTTCCTATTATCAATTTTATCCTCCAATAAACTACAACATCTCTTTATGAGAACCTTGAGTATTGGACTGCTGAAACAGCATTCATGTGTAGGTCCTATTCAATCTGTAAAGCACTCAGATGGGAGAGGAACAGCTCTGGAATCAGTTTGATTTCTTATTACCAGTTTTCTTGAATATAGAGGTGGTTAAAATCTTAATACTTTCCCTTGATACTGCTACAGTTGTTTTGCTTTCATTTTTTACCAAAATGATGCTTCTAGTTCTTTTAAGTGCTGGTGTAGCAAAAATTAAGAGAACCTAATGTTCCTAAATTGTTTAGCCACCATGATAATAAATTCAGTCACGAGTCAATTCATTCCTGTTATCACCTTTTCTCAGACTGCTACATTTCTAAATGAGCATGCTAAATTATCAGTTTGCATTTAATCTTTCATGGAGTATGGAACTGTTCTTGAAAATAATTGTGAGGAAATTGAAAACGAAAGAAAAAAGTCACCGCACAAAACGGACCTGCAAGACCTCTAATGAATACTATTTGACGTGAAATATGTAGTCCACTAATTTAGGTACATTATTTTCGATGCAATAAAACGAGTAATAAGTAATGTTCCTTACTTGTTCGGTAGCTGGCATTCTACAGCAATGTACTGCTAATATTCGCAATAATAAAAACCAGGGCGCAGCAAAGCCAACTTGTAAAAGCTAAACCTTTGCTTCAGCTTCTTCATTAATTAATTGGAAACTTTTGAGTAAATTATACGAGTAAAGCCATGAAATCTACGATTACCAGGCGAATTCCAGACAATGAATACGTCAAATCGACTAAATTGTTTTTAAAGTAGAGTTTGTTGAAAAGTAGCCACACGTTCGTTTCGCCAACGAAACAAAACAAAGCCACATTCGGAAAGAAACCTGCTGCTGGGATTGAATTGACAAATCACAGAATGTTTGAAAATAAACAAATTGGCCACCAAAACCGCACACGCCAAAACAGTAAATGGTAAACCTATTTTAGCGACCAAAACACCCTCTTTGTCGCCTTTAAATATTAAAATATTTCAGCAGAATAAATTAAAGGAGAACGTGAGTATATTGGTACCTGGCTGGCTCGCATGGGAGAATATTTGGACATCTCCTCTTCATCGGAAGAAAATTCTTCATTTTGATTTTGCGAAGTCAAACGTTCCAGGTATAAATCAACGTAAAAAGCCTTTCTTTGCTCAGCTCGCGGAAGTGGAATACCATTCGCCTTTAATTCAGATTTTAGCTCATCTTTCGTTAAAAGACGTGGATTGTTGGAAAATGTCGACATCTTGCATCAAACGTTTAAAACTTTTCCTGAGACATGCGAACACTGTAATCAAATCGAAATCACGGAAGCAAAACTTGTTGGAGGCGCGAAAGCGCGCCTCTCGCGAATCCTTTGCGCATACGCCATATTGTTAACCGCTGAATTCGAGTGCTCGCATTAGGCCAAAATGGCGGAATAGTTGGCGTTATCTTAGTAGAACTTTCTATCGAAATAATGGCCCTTCCGCCGGCCAAGGAGGGTGAAAAGGGTTTAACACTTTGCCGTTTATCAGGTTGGTGCTTGAACGTTCATATCACTGTATACATGGATTCGCATGATCGAGCATTGACACACGAAAGTGAATACTCGTGTTCATCTGTGGGTTAACGGCATATTTCAGATGAGGAACACGTTAAAAAATTTTGCGCGATTTTGATCCCAGAATTATAATGCTAGGCTCAAGAAGTGATGAGCTTGATTACATATTTAATCTTACTTAATTTAAGAAAGAAAAATTCAGATATAGGAAATAACACATTCGTACGCATGTTAGAATGCTCTGTGAATATGCATGAGTCTTTCGGCTTCATGATCCGGAAGGTGAAATAGGGAAAAATTAAAAACTCGCCTTGAAACGTTCAAGTATCTGAGTTTTGTGTCCCTGTTTGGGAATAATTCAATTCAAAAGGACCTTGATTGCTTTTCTCACTCGTGAACAACTCAGTTATTTATTCTTTCACCCTAAAACTCCCAAGGTCTGATAGTTAATTCTCCCCGTTAGCTGCTACACAATTTCTTGAAAATTAGAAAGAAGAATTTGTTGTTAGATCAAGATTATCACTTGATAAGTTTTAGTTTTCTCATCACCTGTTTGCTGGATAATGTACATTCTATATGGATATTACTATAAGAAGAAGTTACTTGTTAATCACTTTTGGGAATTAAAGGGTTAATTTATAAAGTTATTTTTCCAAGTTTCTCATTTACTTAATTGGTAAACATCCAACTCAGAACTTTGTATCATATCTGACAGAGAAATTGGAGCAAGTTTTGTAGAACATCAGCCTTGTATCTGTGCTCTAATGAATCAAAGATGGGAAATTGTAGAAATAATTATGTTAACACAATTTTGATTAATCAGCCCTTTCACTCCCAAGACCTTATAAGTAATTCTCCAGATTGTCAGTCATACAATTTTTGAGATTTTATTTTGGAGAATTTGATATTGGATCAACTAATAATCCCATAATTGATATTTTCTTTTTTTTCAACACTTGTCAGCTTTATGTTGTATTAATTTATACTGTAAGGAGAAATTCTGTCTTGGTCACTCATGGGAGTTTAAGGGTTAGCAAGGAAGGGGCACAGAATTTGAGTAAAGTGGTCACCGTAGTATTTTTTGTTTTCCATATGCAGCACCAACCTCTCTTCGATTTGAGCCTGTTGGTCGATGGTATGAAGCAAATATTCGCCGCCGTCAGCATGGCTTGTCTTCGCATCACAGTAGCTCCAGTGCTAGTTCAAGTGCTGGCTCTGAGGCAGATTTTTCTTCAGATGAAGAAGATCATAATTTTCTCCTCACCTTAGATCCTACAGACTGTAAGGTAAAAGTTCAAAAAAGTCTTCCATTAAAATAAGATTGTTTCTACATGAATATGTTTAGAAGTCTTTGCACTTCTTTGATTGTTTTCAAGGATGTTAAAGTTGAGGTTTTGTATTGATAAGTAAGTCTTATATGTAACTTGTAAATCTTTATGTCAGTTTCTATAATCATGTGATACACTCAGCCCTAGTCTTGTAAGAGCCTTGTCTGCCTTCATTTATTACAGGAACTGTATCTTTTAGCTATTGGCACGCATTTTAGAGCACACAATAAATTACATTGTACTTACAGCAGTTAAACCTCACTTGTCTTAGCACCAGGATCATTACAAGGTTTTAGGACTTGGCAAACTCAGACATAAGGCTACTGCTGCAGACATTAAGAAGGCATGTAAGTATCACTTTGAAGCAAAAAAGTGTACCTACTGTTGTCACATTATAACTAATGCATAGAAAAGGGAACTAAATGTATGTAGCTTACTAATTGCTCTTTGTATTTCAAAGAAAGTTAATTTTGGAACCCATAGTGCTGTAAACTGCATAATAGGGTGCAACTTTTAACCCTTTCACTCCCACAAGTGACCAAGATAGAATTTCTCCTTACAATATCAATACAATATCAAGCAGGCAGGTGATGAGAATAGAGAAGAATATCAATCATGGGATTATTAGTTGATCCAATACCAAATTCTCTGAACTAATGTCATAAGAATTGTATGGCAGATAGTAAGGAGAATTACTAATTAGATCTTGGGAGTGAAAGGGTTAAGTAACTCATTGCAGATGATGTCAAAATAAGGTAAGAACAAACATTGGCATATGAGGTGCTGCTAAGAGTTGCAGATGTTTTTACCCTATTTTGATTTCTTCTGCATTGTATTACTGTACACACCCACAGTAACAAGGAATCTAGGAGAATTAGTGATGAGATCTAAAAGGGGGGACTTCAAAGAGTTAAGATCAGGAACTAAACTATGCTGTACCTTCTTCCTATGTTGAATTCTGCTTGTTAGTCAGGAAGATGGTGCTTAAACATCATCCAGACAAGAAGACCAAAAAGGAAGAACCTTCTAAGAAGAACTTTTCTGATGAGGATCTGTTTGCATGCATCACTGCTGCAAATGATGTCCTAAGCAGCAAAGAGAAGCGGCGAGCTTATGATAGTGTGGATCCAATGTTTGATGATACCATCCCTTCAGTAAATGCCAACTCAAGAAGTAATTTTTTTGAAGTTTTTGGCCCAGTGTTTGAGAGAAATGCCAGGTAAAATTCTTAGCATTGTTGTATTTTCTTCTCTTGTCCATTGAAGTTGCATTTAGTTCAGCTTTTAATTTACATACACAGGAATAAAATTTTCTTCCAGCTCTAGACTAAGAAAACTGTAAGGTTTCTTCAGGCACAAATTTAAGTGCATCTTCAGGCATATATGCTCTCACAGAGGGCTTCTTGAACTACAAGTTATAGATGTGAATAATCTTGTGATTGCATTTTTTTTAAAATCAGAAAAGCTAGAGAGTGGCTGGATTTGAGCTTGTGTCCATTGTGAAATTAAAATATTTGAACAGAGGTTTCTGTGTCCCAAAGTTGCATGTCAAGCACTTTGTTCTTTGCTTTAATTTTAAGTACGAGATTAAAATCATTTCCTTGAAACTACAGATAGAGATCTTTGGAAAGTTCTTTCATTTCCAGCCTAGATTCTTAATCCTTGATTCTCAATAGTTTTGAAGATCAAGGATCAAGTTTTGAGTCCAAACTGTCAAATCACTTTTGAGTGATGCTGTATGCTTGAAGTGTCAGCTGTTGATCAACAATTACTCTTCACCTTCCATTGTATGATTGAGTCTAACGTTCTCTGTTTTTTTGTTGCAGATGGTCCAAAGTTCAACCTGTCCCACCATTAGGAAATGTAAATTCAACGTTTGAAGAAGTCGATAATTTTTATAGCTTTTGGTAAGATTTTACTTGTGTTGTAGTCCTAGTATGAAATTTAAAAAGAAGGTGACTACATAAAAACCTAACTACAGAAAACCAAGGATTGAGCAGAAGCAGTTTTTGATAGGTTCTCCCTTATCTATGATCCATTGACAGACAAATTTATTTTCATGTTTATCTACCAGGTATAATTTTGATTCATGGAGAGAATATTCTTATCTAGATGAAGAGGAGAAGGAAAAAGGGGAGAAGTAAGTTGTATATTTATATGATTTAAAAGAAAATTTTAGCCAATACGCATATGATTTCTTTCCGTGCATTTCTTTTGAGAGTAGTTTTGAGAATATGGAATAAACAAAGATCTTTCCCTTTTTGATGGGTTAATTTGCTCTGTTACATCAACCTTTTACACCTGAACATCAGCATGCAAATTCTCCGTAGTTTTCTCTATACATTTCGTTAGGCATAATTAAGGAATTTGCAATGACCTTAACCCTCTAACCCCTGAGTGACCAGCATCTAAATTCTCTTCACAATATTACCATTGAGTCGTACATTAATAATAAAGGAAATGATCACCAACTAAAGAAACTCTTGATTGTTAGACAAATTCTCCTTGTCAGCACCTTAGTAAATGCATAGAGAACAGTGTGGAGAATATAGATACTGATGTTAAGGTGTAAAGGGTAAATGTTTGATTAGGGGTGAAAAGAAAGGGAGAGTATAGTTGTAAGTCACCTTTAAGAATTAATGAGTGTTTTGTAGGACTAATCGTATAAGACTTACAATGCATGTAGGGATTAATAACAAATTCAACTAAATTTTTACCTTTGTATACTTAAGGGCCAGCCATGGTAAAATGTTGGCACAGTTTTGGAAAGTTTCCATAGTCAGTTCACATGAAAATTTTTACTCTTGAATTGTGCCTTGCAAAAAGCGTATGAAAAGCATTTGAAGAGTGTAAAAAAAATCATCCCTTTGAAAGAGTGTCTTCACATGCTTTTCAACTACTGTAGATCTTGAAGCCATTATGTGAAAATTGGACTCACGCATGCGCTAACGGCCTCGACAGCGATTTGTGACGTGAAATGAACGACCCCAAGAACATAGCTCCTAAGTAATACCTAAGGAGGATTTGACGAACTAATGATCTGCAATTATCTAAAGTTGTGATAATGTTTGTTTACAGTCGTGATGAGAGGCGGTGGATTGAAAAACAAAACAAAGTTATGAGACAAAAGAGGAAGAAAGAAGAAGTTGCTCGAATAAGGACTTTAGTAGGTAAATGCTCACTATGGCAACCTTAATTATTCAATTAATTTATTTGTCATAAATTATGATAATTTAATTATCTTAGTCGGTTGGCATTTTAATGCAAAATTTGTCAAAAGTATACTTTTGACAAATTTTGCATTATATGTGAAGCGATGTGAAGCTCATTTAGATTTGGGGTGATATGCGAAAATTGTAGAAAAACGATTAAGGTGGATAAGAAATTTGCGGAAATTAGGCGCGGCAAATACATTTTCATGTACATCTAATACTTTAAGTAAAGCTTTC